ATGATATAAAATGCTAAAGAAATTAAAAGGAGACAAAGTACAGTTGAAATAAAATAAAATGGGGTGAATTCACGTATATATATATAGTATATACCAAATTTAAGTAGGCTATACTGCATGTACAAATGATTATTAGCTATCAATAATGACAATGTTGCCATAGTACTGAAATACAGAACAGAGACAATAAATCTCTTTCTTTCTTTCTTTATTTATAAAGCACTTTCACACAACTACCAGTTGATCCAAAGTGCTGTACAATACAGCTAAAATAAAACATAAGAAACCACAAAACATCAAAACACAATATAACAAAACAATTTACATGGCTAGATAAAAGCTATTGACAAAATATGTTTTTTAAGCAGGTATTTAAAAACAGGCAAAGAGGGTGCAGCTCTAAAAGAAGCTGGTAATTTGTTCCATAGACTAGGACCAGCAACAGCGAAGGCTTGATCACCTCTGCAATGGAACCTCGATCTAGGAACAGAGAGGAGACCAAGATTACTGGATCTTAGTGACCTATTTGGTTTATAAATAGAGAGATATGATGGGGCTTGATTATGCAGAGATTTAAAAAAAAAATTGTAAAAGCAATTCTAAATTTGACTGGTAACCAGTTTAGTGAAATAAGAATGGGCGAGATGTGATCGAACCTCCGTCTGCCTGTCAGCAACCTTGCAGCAGCATTTTGGACCATCTGTAAACGCATTATAGAGGACTGACTTATACCATAGTATAGTGAATTACAGTAATCTAAACGACATAGAACAAACAAGTGAATAATCTGTTCAAACTGTTTAACAGAGAGTAAAGATTAGATTTTTGATAAATGCCGTAAGTGGAAGAAACTTGATTTGACCACTGCACTAATTTGTTTCTCAAAACCCAGGTTGCAATCAAAAAGAACACCAAGATTTTTAGCACAGGGTGTAAAGTAGGAAGAGAGATGACCAAAGTGAAGGGCACAGTCTTCATATGACTTTAAACCAAACAAAATGATTTCTGTTTTGTTCTCGTTTAACACTAGAAGATTCTGCTTTAACCATATTTGTAATTCATTTAGACAATCCAACAGAGGTCCTAATAATTCTTTACTTTTATGCTGCAAGGGAAAATACAGTATCATCCGCGTATAGGTGGAAGGACACTCCATATTTCTCAAAGATAGCACCCATTGGTAGCATAAATATAGAAAAAAAAGGGGCCAAGAATTGAGCCCTGTGGCACCCCACAAGCAAGTGGGCGTGAGGATGTTGGCCAATGGAAACACTCACATTTCTGTTTGTTAAAAAGGATTGAAACCATTTCAACACCTTGCCCTGTAACCCAACACAGCTCTCCAACCTGGAAATCAAGATATGGTGGTCAACCATATCAAATGCAGAGCTTAAGTCTAAAAGCACCAAAGCGTGTGTTGATATCTTAAATGTGTTGAAGTAAACAAACAAATGAAGAGGAAAAGGAAACAAAGGTAGACAAAGAAAAAATCTCTATACACATTATCTCTAAGTAGTTTATTAAAACGGGAATGAATGTAGGCTATATATGGCATGATTTTACAAAATATCTCTAACTTGCTGTACTACATCTAAAAATGCTATAACTACTTATTAATACGGGAATGAATGTACATATCCTACCAGCTTACGCCACTACACCTTTTTATGCTACTACTGTGCAAATCTATTGTTCCGTTTTTGCCACCTTACCAGTGTAAATCTCTATTTGTTATGCTTGAAGGGTTAAATTAACCTGCGATGCTTCTGTGTACTATAGCGGTGAAGAGGAGAGAAGGGCACAAGGGTATATATAGAGAGAGAGAGAGAGAGAGAGAGGGAGGGATGGAGAGAGGGAGGGAGGCGCGACACAAGCTCGTGGGGGGGAATCAAGAGGGCTAAAACGGCTCGTGGACACAATGGATTCGCGAACGAAAGGAATTTCCGTTGATTAAAGGACGGAGTCTTCGATGAACACGAGACACAAGGTACGTCCAGTTTCTAAGGAGAGCGCGACTTGTTGTATGTGGTGCTTTTGCTGTTTTTGTTTGATTGTAACGGCAGAACCGTTATTTGGACGGTGGAGGATGCAGGAAGTCGAGGCATCATTGCGGAGAGCGCGGCCCGCTCGCTCCGCTGGGTCCTAATGTGATGTTTTTACAGGCTGCTGCTTCAATCTGTTGACACTACTTCACACAGAAACGATATATCTTACAGTTTCCGATTTTAATTAACGATATAGTCTGTCTTGCACACAAGGAACATCTCGACATGAAGCGGTATTAAAACGACAGTCGATGTTTCGGTGCCTAAATGCTGGTTGATTCAGGGTATATATAGAGAGAGAGAGAGAGAGAGAGAGGGAGGGATGGAGAGAGGGAGGGAGGCGCGACACAAGCTCGTGGGGGGGAATCAAGAGGGCTAAAACGGCTCGTGGACACAATGGATTCGCGAACGAAAGGAATTTCCGTTGATTAAAGGACGGAGTCTTCGATGAACACGAGACACAAGGTACGTCCAGTTTCTAAGGAGAGCGCGACTTGTTGTATGTGGTGCTTTTGCTGTTTTTGTTTGATTGTAACGGCAGAACCGTTATTTGGACGGTGGAGGATGCAGGAAGTCGAGGCATCATTGCGGAGAGCGCGGCCCGCTCGCTCCGCTGGGTCCTAATGTGATGTTTTTACAGGCTGCTGCTTCAATCTGTTGACACTACTTCACACAGAAACGATATATCTTACAGTTTCCGATTTTAATTAACGATATAGTCTGTCTTGCACACAGGGAACATCTCGACATGAAGCGGTATTAAAACGACAGTCGATGTTTCGGTGCCTAAATGCTGGTTGATTCATGCTGCCAAGATAAGTAATCTACTGGCGGCAGCAGCATGGGATCACAAAAAGCCTGCCTGTCCATGCCAGTGTGCATGGGATTTCCCAAGAATTCATGACCCGTTTAATATATCAAATGACTTGAAAGTGTCTCATGTTCCTGCGACTGTTTACGGTTTTGTTCATGATCTGACTTCCTTTATCTGACAGAAAGATCAATTCGTTGTCTACGGAGATCCAACCCTGTAGGAAAATCCAGCTTAAGCTGAGAGCTGTGTTTTGTAACATGGTAGCTGGGCTCTAGTTCATTTGCTTGCTGAATTTTGACCAGCTAATGTGTTATAAAAACCAGCTTGGTCACCTTAAGAGGCTTTGATGCCGGTCTAAGATGGTCTGCCAGCTCATGACCATCTGAGACCATCTAAAAACGAGCTACCATGTTCTGAAGCACAGCTATCAGCCTCATTTAAATACCTTTGTCTGCCAAAATGAATTATTTTTGTTTTAAAGCTTTGAAAGCTGTTATGTGAGTTGTAGTCTACACCTCAACGTGCATCTCAAGGAAATTTGAGTCACTACGGAAGTGTTTCGCATCACTGCATAAACTGTTTCCTTTAGTCTTTAAATATTGTTGCGATTTTTAGTTTGTACCTTTTTATAAAGGTTGTATATTTAAAATTGTTCTTGCATATTCATATACTCTTGATTTAGTGCAATTTTTATGTAAACTGTAAAAGTAAGGCGTCTGAGAACTTTTCTGACTTTATGACCCTGGGGCATCTGTGTGGCCATGGCAGAGCTGTCAATGAATGCTCAAAAACCACATCAGGGTACTAAACCTGTGGGCTTTTGCACTGTACAGTGCTGTTTTTGATATATACTTTAGCCTATATAGTGGCCCAACTTGATCTGTCAAATGAGTTGTCAAAAGTTTCTGATGTTATCTATTTTATCAGTGAAGAAATTCATGAAGTCATTTTTTTTATACAAATCAGAAAAACTTTTGTCTTTAAAAGCAATTCATTCATCCTGTTATTTTGTACCCACTTCAATGAACTTCATACATTTGTAAGTGTGGCTTAAGTGTTCAAAGGGCAACGCCTTCATAGATTTTTATATTACAGGGATGCTTGAATCTGATTAGTTGACCGTTCTGGTGTGCAATTATTTTTCAGGAAATGCATGGCTAAAGTAGTTCCAGGCAGGTCTTGACAGTATTACATGTCTATATCACTTTTCCAAATGATTTCCATTATTTCAGAGGTCCTTACTGCCTACAACAGCAAAAGAACCAAAACACACAAAGATACTGACCAAGCCCTGAAATATAACAAACAGAAGGATAAAAATGACGAACTATTTCCATGTTTTTCCCACAAAATTATGTTTTATTATTGACAGAAAGCACACTCTTCCCTGCTATCTCTCCCATACAAATGAACAAACTGCCCTACGACTGCAAAAAAAAAAAAAAAAAAGTTTTACAGCTGAAACAAGCTACGTGATATTACTCAGAAAGCGAGGTGGTAACGGCGCTTGAAGCAGTTAAACTTAGTGTCTCTGTTAGTAGAGACGCTGCTACTGAACATTAATTTGAAATGCACAGATTCAGGTAATTTACACATGCTTCACACAGCTACATTTAATCTCTCTCTCTCGCTCTATAATAACTGCATTAATAACAGCACTATGGCTCAAGCCTCCATAACTAGGTCTAAAGTGACATTTTGCAATTAGCAACAGAGGCTTGAGATGAGATGCTTAGGAAATTAGTCCTACATGCAAGAGTGTTTTAAGCACAAAAACCTGACAAATGTCTTGAAATACATCATCTAAATAATGTCTTGTGGTAACCGTAGTATTAGCAGAATAACTGACTTCAGTCCATTGAATTATTCAAAAATAATGCTCCGCTTTGTGTCATGGCTGCTTCACCACCTCGGGTGTGTATTATTTTTCTGATCATCAATTATTCCTTGCATATTTCTTATAAAATATGTCAATTATTTCTGTCTTATTCATACTTTCTCCTTTTCTCTCGTTTTTCTCTCTTTTTGCGGCTGATAATATGGACTGATCCTGATGGCTGCCACTTCTTATTCATGTAACAAGGAGGAGAAGCAGAGGGGCTATGCTGTTTCTGCTCATCTTTACTGCTGTTTGATTAACCATGATGAAGACTGAACCCCCATCTGCAGCCAGTGGCAGCACTGGCACCACCCTCGTAGCAAGAAGTGCATCGCCGCACAGGAACGCCTATGAAGCTGGAATTCAATCTCTCAAGCCGGTAAAAGATTTCAGTGCTGCTAAGGGCGAGGATGGGAAACCTCGACCCCAGGGCCGGGGCTGCAAGTACGGCTCCAATGTGCACCGCATCAAGAATATGTTCATGCAAATGGGTTCCCCTGGGGAAGAAGAGGATCCGTCGAAGGCCAAAGACCAGTCCATCCGACTCTCCCTCCCCAGAGCGAGCAGTCTGAATGAGAATGTGGATCACAGCGCGCTGCTCAAACTCGGCGGGACTGTGTCAGAGCGAGTTAGCCGCTTCGATGGTAGCAGCTCCCGTGGACCAACCACAGGCTCCTCCAAGCTACAGGAGACACGGAAGATATTTGAGCAGCGTCACCTGCAGGAGAAGCAAGCTGCGACTAATCGAATCCTGTTAAAGAAAGAGCGGGCATCGGGCTTCCAAGACAGCCGTTTGGATGTGGTGGTGCGCTTCAACGGCAGCACAGAGTCATTGGACAGACTGGATGCGGGGGACTGTCGCGCAGATGCAGTATCCCCAACAGTCAGCCAATTGAGCGCAGTGTTTGAACGGGCCGACCAGCGCAACAACCTACTCCGACCGTCTTCAACCTCCCCGCTGCCTTCTACCCCGGCCAAGGTGGGAGGAATCAGCGCCAAAGTTGTCACTAGAAAGACACGAGTCTCCCCTCCGACGGAGAACCAAGAGGAGGGAGCTCAGCGCAATGACCAAGAGGCTGCACCTGGGAGTCCGAAGAGTAGAACAAGCATCCAAGCTGATGGACCCAAAGGCAAACCATCCGAGGATGTGGCTGCTGGTACAGATTTAGATAAGTCCAGGTCGGAAGAGGGTTCCAAACCAGAGGAGCATGCAGCACCAGGAGCACCAGATGCAGGGAGTAGACTGGTACAGGCGGATGTTCACGCCTCTCTGGAAAATGGAGAGGCCACCAGCAGCCATGAGCCCTCAGAACGAAAGGAGGAAATTGGACAGGCCTGCTTCGAGGAGGAATCCTACAGAGAGGATATCTCAGAAGCAGACCTGGTGGACATCAGCGCGTACAGCGGGATCGGAGAGGACTCTGGTGGGAGTCAGCTGGATGAAGATGAGGAGGCTGAGGATGATGATACTTACGAACCAGAATCCAGCTGTTCGGAAATTCCTGGGCTGCCTGTGGAAGATGAACCACCCCCCAGCAGGAAGATTCGTTTCAGTACAAACTCCATCAAGGTAAGTGCCTAAAACGTGTGAAAGCAAGGAGAGAAAGAACGCTTTGTGTTATAAATTAGCGTGACAGTGTACACCATCTTAAAAGCTGCGGGCACAGTTTCAATATTGGGTTTTCTGGAATGAATTATAGCAGGTTGTAGCCAACACATTGTATAAAAGTATGGATGGGCAGGGTTTGGATGCCTGCAGGCATAAGAAATTAGAAACCAGTCTTAGAAGATTGCATTTCTGTGGGGAATTGTGCATAAAAGTGTGTTTGTTATTGGCATGACGCTGAAGTAGTAGATGCCTTTTTCTCATCCAATGTTTTGATATGGATTCTCCTTGAAAGGAGGACTGCTTCACTGCTTGCAGAGTCACCTCTGGGCACTGTCAGCACTTTGATACAGCATGCCATTGGCTCTCCAGCTGCTGACGGCTCACTTCTGCTGGTATAAGAGCTCTCTCTCTTGCAGACTGCATGGTTAGTCAGGTGGTGCACAGTGTCCTTTGTATGAGAGTCACATGTTTGTGTTCCTCTGTGTTTTGGTGACTTTCACATCTTAATTTCTATTCTTGAGACAATGGCACATTCACATAATGACCAATGTTATCAGAGCGCCATCGCTTCAGACTGTTCATGTGGACAACAAAGAGCAAAGCAAAGTTGCGTTTTGTGCTTTCAAACTTGCAGTCGTGACCAAAACTGCAAGATACTTTGCTCTGCAGGTGCTAGATTCCCAGCATGAGGGTTGCCAGATCCTAATGGAGGCATACCGAAGGCATGCTGTATCTGAAGTGAACACTATGTAATCTCACTGACGTCAAGGGGATTTGATACCGGGGGTTTGCCCTGTGTTACTAAACTGTGGCTGACAGGGTCCCTTTCTGTTCCTAGTATAAAGATGATCGCAGTAGCAATGCTTGAAAAATAAAACTTTTTTACTGCACGTTGACCTTTTCATAGAAGACATTTAATAAAAATCAGGTGGGAACATCTGTGAACATCAGTCCACCAGAGCCCAGCTCAGGTGAGCTAAAAGCCCAATCCCTTGATCACAGCCTCATTAGTCTTTTCTGCTTTGGTATCAATACTGATCCTCGATCACTGTTCAAGGTAGACAGAGGCCTATTGTAGCACTGGAGGAGTGTGAGTGTGTTTCTTTGTAAATGTTTTGTGCTGTAAGCTTGTTTTTGTAAAGCAGTAGGTAGTTTAGTGAACTAAAAGGGTAAAATGCTATGAAGACAAGTATGTGTACAAGTGTTTGATGTGCATAGATGAGTATGTTCATGACTCGTTTTTGTACATGAGTGGCCCCAAAAAGCACTTTTGCCACACTTAAAATGTATGAGTTTGTTGCATTCGCTCAAGTTGTTCCAAACTAGAGATCATGAGGGAACTGCAGGGGAGTTGATAAAGAGCTAATAATTAATTAAATCATAAAAATATCAAATTAAAATAAATAAATAATTTATACGGGGAAAACATACATAAAATATTTATTTGTTTACCTTGCTACATCTTACCATTAATCAACATCAGAGCACTGTGAACATGCAAATGTGTTTTTAAGTTTTTAAGAAATACTAACTTAAAATCTCAAGAGTATTTATATGTAATATTTTATGTCAAATGGGCTCTGCTGACAAAGCAAGTTTTGGAATCCCTGCATTAGAATAGTAACTATAGCTAATTATTAAATCAACTGGCGTCTGTAAACAAATAATGCTATATATGATGCTGACTTTACGGTTCATGGTCATTATGTGCCATTATTTTTAACTAACTGGTTTTGAGGTCAATTTTTGTTGATGAAGTCAATTCCCCTCAAGTTCACACAGGTATCCTACACTGTAAAACCTGATAAGTTAAGAATACTCAAAACATTTGTGGAAACTTATTGTCTCAAAATATTTGAGTAAACGAACTCAATTTTTTAAAGTTAGTAGAGCTTAAAATTTTTATGACAAGTGGGGCGGGGCTAAGAGCCATGGGAGCCAAGCCAAGCCTCCCTTCCATGATCCCACCCCACTCATCACAACGATAATTATATATTGCTTGCTTCCATTAACAGCACATTCATTCAGATCTTTATAGTTAAGTGTTAGATAGCAACGGCACACTGGCACGTACTAATGTAGTCCAACATTATAAATTTACAGAACTTATTTCAATTAAGTCCAATTAACTTTCATTATTATTTGAGTGAAGTTAACTCATTTCATTTAATTAATTTCACTGTTCGGTTTTACAGTGTAGTAGAGGTACTGGCAGTGATGTAAAAGCAGGCATTGATCTTCTTCTGCGGATGCGGTGTTTAGCCACACTATTACATCATAAAGTGGCACATTCCACAACTTGTTGTTTTGGCAGATTGGCTTCAATGTAAGCCATTTTTAGCGAGAAAGTTTTAGGATGTTTTTATAGTAATGACCTCTTATATCAAAAGATCAAGGGAATTTTGGTTTCTCAGTTCATGACCCCATGTTCTGCATGAATAGCATGCTTTTGCTATCTTTGCACTAGCTGTGTTATCTAATGCAATAGCATTCATAGAGTAAAGTGTTTAAAGTGTGCAAATTTTAGTTGTTTTGTGGGGGAAAGGAAGGAAAAAAGACTGAGCTTTCTGAAACCATGTCTGCTGTTGTTTACGTGCTAATGTTGTTGCACGTTCGCTTGCATAAATATTTATTGTTCATTGTACCATCTGTATTCTCATCGATGGTTTAGCATTCACATCTAGTTTATAGAGCGGCCTTATTATTAAGAACTTTGTGAGTCCAGACAGGCGTGGGCAGACTCTCTTATCCTCTCAAACACAGGAAGAGCTACAGCAATTTCAGGGGAGGGAGGTGGTTCACGCAGGACTGTTGGTGGAAGTTGATGTTCAGAGCGGATCTGAGGCCTGGTTTGCAATTCATTTCAGAAGTGAGAAGTTCCGGGTTTAGATGTGGTGACCATTTCCTAAAACAGCATAGAAAATGAAAGTTTTACTTAACCTGAGGTAGAATGGAGGAAAAGCAGGAAGGGGACAAATTAGACATATACATAATTCCTCTTTAGGGGATAATATAGATTGCAGTCATTTTTCCATGAAGAAAATATACCAGAACAGGATCCACCGTAATGTAACATTTAGGGATGCACCGAAATGAAAATTCTTGGCCGAAGCCGAAACCGAACAAAATGAAACACTGGGCTGAAGGCTGAATACTGAATACGCTTTTTGGATTTTGGATTTTGTTTTCCTTTTGCCAATTTTTTTCACCATTGCACAAATTAAATAGCCAAAATGTGCTTTTTACTGTTTTGTCTTGCTTTTCAAAGAAAAAATCAATTACAAAACAACAATTTAAAAATATTTAACACTGAACATTTTTTAACATTCTAGCAGACATTATACGAACAAAGCACAATTTAACTTAAAATTAATAAGTGAGTAAAATAATATTTTTTTGGCCATCAGACCCCCTTCTTGAATCAGGCATGTATTTTTTTACTATACAAATAAAAGCAGCCTTGCTGAGCAGAAGAGCCTTCTTTTAAAACATTAGAAAGTATTACTGATCCCAATTTGAACACTATGTGTGAATGTTATAATAAATGTATTAACAGAGCTGTTGAAATTATTATCATTATTATTGTCTTACTTTTTATTTTATTTTACAGAACAACAGTAAAATTACAATACTAACATTTATGAATGTTGAAAAGAGTTCTTCCTTTTTCTCAACTTTTATTTTGGCGGAAACGCACAGGAAGACCTCA